AATAGGTTATGCTGTCATTTTCATTGACTTCCAGGAACTTTTTAATTTTTTTTTATTTCATCAATGATCCATTGTTCATTAAGTAATAAGTTATTTAGTTTCCAGCTGTTTGCATGCTTTTTGTCTTTACTTTTGTTGTTGAGTTCTACTTTTACTGCATTGTGATCAGATAGTATGCATGGTATAATTTCTATATTCTTATATTTGCCGAGGCTTGCTTTGTGCCCTAGGATATAATCTATTTTGGAGAAGGTTTCATGGGCTGCTGAGAAGAATGTATATTGTGTAGAAGTTGGATGAAATGTTCTGTAGACATCAACTGGGTCCATTTGATCTTTAGTATATTTTAGATCTTGGATTTCTTTATTGATTTTTTGTTTAGATGACCTATCTATTGATGATAATGGGGTGTTAAAGTCTCCCACAACCACTGTGTTGGCGTTAATACGTGCTTTTAGGTCTTTCCGGGTATGTTTGATGAAACTGGGTGCGTTGACATTGGGTGCGTACAGGTTGATGATTATTATTTCCTTTTGGTCTATTTCCCCTTTTATTAATATGGAATGTCCTTCTTTATCTTGTTTGATCAATGTACGTTTGAAGTCTACTTTGTCAGAGATAAATATTGCTACTCCTGCCTGTTTTGGGGGGCCATTGGCTTGGTAAATCTTCTTCCAGCGTTTCATCCTAAGCCTATGCTTATTTCTGTCAGTGAGATGGGTCTCCTGTAAGCAACAAATTGTTGGATCTTCCTTTTTAATCCATTTTGTCAAGTGGTGTCTTTTGTTGGGTGAATTAAGTCTGTTAACATTAAGCATTAGTACTGATTGGTATGTGGTGATTGCTGTCATTTAGTTGTCTTAGTTGTTTGAAGGTTTGATTGTGTGTACCTAAGTTGAGGTTACTCTCTACTGTCTTGCTTTTTCTTTTCCTGTGGTTTGGTGCTTCCTGTCTTTTCATGGTTAAGTTGGGTTTCACTTTCTGTGTGCAGAATTCCTTGAAGAATCTTTTGTAGTGGTGGCTTTGTGGTCACATATTGTTTTAGTTTCTGCTTATCATGGAAGACTTTTATTGCTCCATCTATCTTGAATGATAGCTTTGCTGGGTAGATTATCCTGGGGTTGAAGTTATTTTCATTCAATGCCCGGAAGATCTCACCCCACGCTCTTCTTGCTTTTAATATTTCTGTTGAGAAGTCTGCTGTGATTTTGATGGGTTTACCTTTGTATGTTACTTGTTTTTTCTCTCTTACAGCCTTCAATATTCTTTCCTTAGTTTCTGAACTTGTTGTTTTAATGATGATATGTCGTGAGGTAGTTCTATTTTGATCTGGTCTATTTGGTGTTCTGGAGGCCTCTTGCATCTGTATGGCAATATTTCTCTAGATTTGGGAAATTTTCCATTATTATTTTGTTGAATATATTATGCATTCCCTTCGTTTGCACCTCTTCTCCTTCTTCGATGCCCATGATTCTCAAATTTGTCTTTTGATGGAGTCGGTGATTTCTTGCATTTTCTTTTCACAGGTCTTGAGTTGTTTAATTACTAGTTCTTGGTTTTTCCTTTGATTACCATTTCATCTTCAAGTTCTGAGATTCTGTCTTCTGTTTTTTCTAATCTGTTGGATTGGCCTTCTGTTTTGTTTTGCTGTTCTGTTTTGTTCTTTTTTCTGAGGTTTTCCATATCCTGGGTGTTTTCCTCTTTAATGTTGTTCATGGTAAGGGGACTGAGCATCTTCCAAATTACTATATACCACTGAATCACTATCCAAAGTGGTTGTTCCAAAAGGCATTCCTGCCAGTTACATGGAAGAGCATCTGCTGCTCCATACTGGTCAGCGCTTGAGGCTATCAGACTTTTATGCTTTTTCTAATTTCAGGAGTGTGAAATATTTCAATGTTATTTGTTTTAGTTTTCATAACCTGACTTAATTAATGAGGTCATGGATATTTTCATTCATCATACATATTTCTTCTATAAATTGATTACTATACCCATCTTTCTAGGTTGTTTGTCTTCCCAATAACTCATAATACTTAATTTTATTTTACATTGACATTGATTTATATCTTTTATATTTTTTAATTGCTGCTGAAAATCTGGATTAGCATAATAGAGTAATAAATATCTGTATTTAATGGTCTTTGAAATTAAAGTTTAACAAGAAAAGCTTCTGATTAAAAATTATTATACTAGTAAAAAATGAATATGAAATACATCATTAAGAAAATTAAAAGGCAAGCAAGAGACTGCAAAATACATAAATGACTTGTATCCAGAATGTACAAAGAACAGCTAGAAAATAACACCTTGAAAATAATGAGAGGAACAGTTCTATCACGAAAGTCAAAGAATTTGAATAGACATTTCATAAAAGGAGACATAAGGGTTAGTAATCATGTGTGAAGATGGCAACATTATTTGTTATTAGCAAAATACAAATTCAAAACAATGAGATATTATTTAATATATACTACAATAGCTATAATTAAAAAGATAGATAATAAAAATTTTGGGGATGTAGAGAAATGAGAACAATCAAATACAGTTCGTGCAAATGTGAAAGGCCATAATCTCTTTGGAAAACATTTTGACAGGGCTCTCAAAAGTTAAAATAATTTAACACATGACCCAGAAATTCTCATAGGTATCTACCCATAAGAAAAGAAAATATGAATTCACATAAAGACATACAGAGATGTTCATAGCATCACTATCCATAATATCAGATTTGTCCTGATATTTGATATAGCAAAATTCTGAGACAAGTTTCCATCAATTGGTGAAAGTGTTATAACACTAGGATGGAAAACAATTTGGCAATAATAAGGGGGAAATTATTGATTTGCGCCATAATATGACTGAATCTCTTAAACATTGTGTTAACTGAAAGATTACAGACATGAAAGACTATATATTGAATGATTATATATTTTTTAATAACCAGAAAAAGAAAATCTATAAAGTCTGAAAGTAGGTTAGTGGTTGCCTGGGCTTGGGAGGTAGTGAAGGAGGTGATGGTGGGGTTTAAGTGTCAAGAGGCATGAGAGTTATTTGGGAGTGATTTAAAAAAGTTCTAGACTTTTTTATGTGATAGTTGGTAACTTGGTAAGTTTACTAAGGTATCATGGATTTGCACACTTGAAATGGTAGAATTATATGATATATAAAATATGCCTGAGTATAGTTACCTCCTTCCCTCCCTCTCTCTCTCTCTCTCTATACACACACACACACACACACACACACACACACACACATACGCAGGTATACATGTACATATTCCATACCATTATATAACCCATACCATATACATATGCATATAAAAAGCTAGCTCACATTTTAGACCAGAAGGATGAAAATAAAGGAGAATTTTACATGATACCTCAAAGTTTAGCTTATGTTTTCCATTTTATTGCTATTCCTTATTAATTATAGGAAAAGTCATCTAAAATACTAGGTGTTTAATGCATTTGCTTTTTGATACCCCTGCTTACTTGGACATGATTAAAATTTTTGTTTTCATATATATGGGACTTATTCACTTGTTGCTTATTCACAGGAGGAACTCATCTGAATCATAAATATGGATAAGTGAATTCTAAGATACTTGAGTTAAGTAAAGGTAAAATGAAAACAATGTAGAACTTTCAAATCAATGTGTGAAACGTATACATATAGATTTCTTTCTTAATGTAGAAAGTAGTTCTCCCTAAATCCTAAAGTAGAATGTAAAGTAATTATGTATGTTATTTTATATCAGATAATTTCCATTTTAATTAAAAATAAGCTGCCAAAACTTAAGTAATTTATATATTTGTGATTAGTAAGGACATATGAAGCATATAATATTAAATTTAACTAGAAAGGGTCTTAGCTGACAAGTGTAATGTTGGCATCTTACAAAGAGAAGGAAATGTATTTTAAAGTTTCATTCTAGGAAAGGATAAGAGAGGACTTAGTAAAGAGAGAAATTAATTAAAGACATTAACATTAATTCATAATCTTAAAAAATGACAATTCAAATAGACTAGTAGTCTTTATATCACCTTTCATATCACAATCCACAAGAACTGTTGATTGGAATAACACAGAAACAGAACACATGAAAAAATAATGACTAACTGTCAAGAGCAGATACATGAAACATGTACATCATTGCTTTGATTAGAGAGTAAAGGTGCCATGGAAAATTATTTTAATCTGGAGAGTTTCATAAAAGCCCCAAATCTCCATTTCATCAACTTTCATTAAGAAGAATCAACAAAATTACTTATCTCATAATACAAGAATATATTCAGTTCAAAGTAGGACAGAGATGTTCTAATAAAGTATTTAACAATAATCTGCAGCTATCCAGCTACTCCATTCTTATACACCAAGAATATGTATTATTGCTTTAATGTTTCATGCTTGGGTCACACACACTGGGAAGAGGGCATCCAGAGAGACAGATCATGATGTATTAACCCGAAGCGGATCATGGCTGAGTAGTCAAAGGAGAAAAGGTAAATAATGGTAAAGGAGGGAAGCCAGGGATTAGAGCCTGCAATAAATGCCATCCCCAAAGGGAGAGGCAAGGGCATAAGCAAACAAGCAGAAGCAAACAAAATTGCAAACTGGATTAGGCACAGGTAGGGGATTCTATGCAGAATGGACAATAACAAAATGTTTTATATGAACACTTTTATGGCATGACATCAATCTATTGGGTTAAGGCACTGTGCAGTGCCAAGAAATTATAATTCTATTTGCTACACCTATAAGCACAAGGGACTCCCTACCTGGTTATTTTGACTCTAAGACTATATTTATAATTAGTATATATTATTTGCCTTTCATTGGAATGATTATTAGTCTGACTTGACTGTGCCATAGGTTACCATTTTGTATTGTCTGTGTACAGACTGCACATCTAGAAGGTAGCTGATTTTTATATATGTAACCAAGGGATTTCTCAACATATGCCTCTTTCACCATACAACCTATTTCTGTTTCAGCCTGAACAGTTTTAGACGGTGCAGTCTTGCTACAGGTCTGAGAGATGGCCGTAGGAAACAACACCCAACGAAGTTATTCCATCATTCCGTGTTTCATATTTGTTGAGGTATGTGTATTTTTTAAACTTCATGTATAAGTTGAAATAATAGTAGCAGATCTTATGCTGAGAACTTGGATTATCTTATAAAATTATTTAATCTTATAATTGAGAGTCAAATTTTGATAGCACAAATATCAATAAAGATTGATAGACCATGCAAAATATTTCTTAAATAGGAAGCCATAATTAAGTAAGAATGTTTTAAAATTTCTTCTTTGGATTACAGAATAATTTTTATTATATTTATTTTGTTTTCAGTAGTGATGTAAATGTATTAACTCTCTTTAAAATCAATATTCTTTTTTCAAGAATTCAGTAAGCTAGGCATTTTACTAATTTTGTTAGTTCATAGCCTTTTGCCTTGTAGTTCAAATACAGAAAAAAAATCTTAGAATTGATCATTTCCACTAGCCATTCTTCTTCAGTGAGATATTGGGAGCTTGTGTAATGTGTGATCTCTTTTGTCATGGATTACTTTGATTTGCTCTGTGTGCCAGCAAACAGTTTCTGCAGCATCTTTTTGGCTAAACCCCTATACACTTCCCCACTGTATCTCTTCTGTAATGTTTACCTTACAGGAGACAATGACATGGAAAATTTTAGGGAATTTGGAATCATATGATGAGAAGGCTACTCTCCAGGTTATCTTAGAATAAGATGTTGATTTGCCAAAGATATTATTGTTTTTGTCTTCTAAAGGTGATAGGACATCTAAGGGATTTTTTTTAATACTAAATATCAGGTTTAAAATAGGACAGAATAAAGATCTTAAAAGTAAATGCCTAAGCTTCCTATCTGGGTCACTCATGGGACCCAGCAACGCAAGGGTCAGCTGTATCATGTTCTATGTTATGACATCTTTTGGCTGAGTGTGGGAGGAATGTGCATGTTGATGCATTTTATTATCTAGGTGAACAAGGTACTAGTGCTAACCACTACTTATAACAAAATGGACTTACAATACATGTGTTTTTCTACATAGCCTATGAATCATTTTAATAAATATTTTTATTTAAAGCTATGCCCCCTTGAAATAACCATCTCTCTACATAGTCAGATAATTTTGTTGACATTCTCATTTTTGGCCAAATATATGTGTGTTTGTCTGATCTTTGAGTGTTACCTGATGGATATTCCCTGGCAAATTAATGTTACTTGATGAATTTATTCTTTGGTGATATTTGTGAGCAGGATTTTCATATTGCAGAACAGAGAGAGATAAGAGAGAAGGTTGAGACAGAAATTGAATATAAGCTAAGGTACATATAGACAATCTAAACTAAAAGTCTGAAAGGGTAAATGAACAACTCATTTCTCAACAATAAACACATACTTTTTACAGTCTGCCTTTAACTTATTGCACAATTGCAAAAATAAGACCCATCAGATCATAAGTATGCATTATGTACGTCATTGGTTCTAGTTGTTATTATTCTTGTTGAAGTCTCAATAAGGGAAAAAGCAGTCCTTTTTTTTTTCCTGCTGCTCATACAGAAAGGATAGAAGGCATAACACTACCTTTTGAAGTGTTCTGTTTCTCTTTTGTTATAAGAAAAATACGATTTTTAAAGTAAGCTAGGGAAATTAGGGAATAAGTCATCTGTCATCATCCTTATTCTCCCAGCAGCACTTTTATTTTAAATTTTCTTAAAAACCAAACAGGAACTAAGCCTCGAAGTAAGATTTAATTTATTGCTGGATGCTGTGGTCTCTGAAGGTCTTCAGCTCTCTAATGTGTGAATGATGAGCTTGGCTGGTGAAGCTGCAAGCAGAGATAAATTAGTCCTTCTGTAGCTCACCTTGACACAAACATAAATATAAGTCTAAAGCTCTGGGAGAGGAAAGATGGTTTATTCTTTTTCTTGCTATATATTGTCATTCCTATTTTATAGGGAAGCTTAGTTCCTTCCCTCAGAAAGGGACAGGAGAAAGGAGAAGAGGAAGTGAAGTAGAATATTGTAGAAAATTCAGAGCAGAGGAGGTGAATCTCAAAGTGGCTCTCATGATTCTCATGTATTTCTTTCATCAAACATATATCATTTACCTACATTCTTCCAGGTACTACCACAAGGCTATCAGAAAATTTTGCCAAAAATAACTTGGTTAAAATGTTATTGGATCAATAAATATGCTTGCTTTTTAATTATGAAAGACCTCAAGCACAGAGAAAACAAACATCCAGATAACCACTATCAAGAACAAAGCTTACATTTGCAATATTTCCTTTTAATATTTTTTTCTGAGGAAAGTAAAATTTTGCAGGTATGGCTAAAGTCCTCCTGCAATGGACTATTTATGTGAACTATATAACTATGTACATGAAATAACTGAATGGGAAGTTAAAGGCTTCCTTCTTCTACATGATCCCCATGTATATTTTTATACTTTTCTTATACATGTATATACTAGTAAATACTATTTTAGGGATAACTTTCATAAATGATACCATATAAAACCTTCCATTTGTAACTTGCCTTTTTATTCAACACATTTCTGAGATTAACCAGATTGGCATGTCATTAATTTTAATCATTGTATTTTATTTGATTGTGTAAATATACCTACTGAGGTACAGTTTAATTCATTTGTTTTTTCTTATTTTTATACTCATAGTATTTTTATTAAAATATCCTTATTTTCACATATATGGAAGAAGCTTGACACCTAGGTGTAGAATTCCTAGGAAATAATTACATTTTCCAGTTTTTTGTTGCTATGTTATGGGAACAACATTGATATTTGTATATCAGTTTCTTTAAAGAAATTTTAGAAGTTCTATTGTTAGTTTTATGAGTGTATACTTCTTAAAATTTTTCAGATACTCATACAATGTACAATTAGTAGCAGATTTATTTGTTCTTTTCTAATTGTTATGCTTTTAATTTTTTCTTGTCTTGTTGCTTCTGTTCAGACCTCCTGTGTAATTTTGGGTGGAACATTGTTGTTAATGGTGCTGACGGAGAGGAGCTACTTCAAGTGTTTCTCCATTTAAATTATGAACACATGTGGCCATTACCCCTGTTCTCTGCCTTCTACATTAAATTGCTTCACTTGTTTCAATCCTATTTCCTTCCTTTATTAGTTATAAATTATAGACTGTATTTCTGTTCTTTAAAAAATTGGAATTAAATTTTAAGTATATATACCTGAGGTTAGTCAATGGCTCTTCCATTTTCTTAAATAAGTAAGGACTGTTCTTAGGCCTCTTTGAGCTTTTGTGTGTCATTCTTGATTTTTATATCTTCCTTAATTTTTTCAGTTAGAGCTTCTTTACATTTATCCCATGGACTGGCAACATGACTGAAGTGATAGAAAGCCTACATAGCAAGCATGAGGCCCTGAGGTCAAACCCCAGTATCTCCCAAAAAATAATAAATAAATTTACTCCATACCCATCAGTTTCCTTATTTACTATTTCTTTATTCACCTGTTTTAATTTCTTATTGAAGCTTATATTTTAGCAGTTCATTTAGCAGAGGTCTAGTAAATCATAAACATTCTTAATATTTATAAGAAGTTGACTTTATATTGGAATTAATCTGGAATGATGACCTATCTTGACATTGAATTTGAGGTTGAGAGGTTATTTTCTACTGTCAAAGTTTATCCCCTTCCCCGGCCTTTGTTACTGATGTTGAAAACCCCTCTCTCTTATTACTGTTCTCAATAGGTGATTCAGTTTTTCCTTCCAATTGCTTTTAATTCCTTTTCTTTTTCCCTGTCTCTTCAATCTCTCAGTATGAACAGGTATTGGCTATGACTTGCATCTTGAATATGAAAAATCATGCTTGTCACCAATGCTGTAAGCTGTCAGCCATCACCTGTTCAAATATCCTCTCTCGTATCTTTTACCATAACGTCTGTTTGACATATCTTGGAGCTTCTCATTCTTTCTATATGATCTTTTCACCTATTTTATTATTGTTGTTGTTAGTTAGTTTCCAGAAGTGATGTGTGTTTTTTTAAAGCTACCAATTTTTATAGTTATTTCTTGTGCTTATGGATTTATTTATTGTGTGTCTTTAATTAAATTTATTTATTTTATATTTTTCAAACTATTATATTATTTGAAATTATTAGTATTCTGATCCTCCTGTTTTTTGTGTCTGCCATCTCTTGCTCATAATGGATTGCTTTATTTTTGTGTTTTCAAGCTCAATTTTAGAAGAGCTTACTCCTGTATGATTCATCTGGGTCTTTGGTTTTCAGAGTATCACTTTAAAGGGATTTTGCACAAATGTTTTGCTTGGGCTTTTGCTTTATATTCAGAACCTAAAAACTTGCATAGTCCCAAAGTATACTTAGTGAAAGCTCTCCTTCCTTGTAGTCTTCTTGTGTCAGCAGGTGGATTGCATAGAATGTTTTTGTTTTTTTTTTCTTGGAAGTGAAAAGCAATTTTCAGGCATCTGGGCTTTTACGCAAGAGTCTCAGTTCTGACTCAAGTCCTCATACCATATCCCCAGGGACATTTAGCCCAAACACCATTGCTGGGATTTACCTGACCCCTTCTTCTACCCCAGCCTGCATTCAGTTTATTCAGTTACCACTCTGATTTTCAGCAGCTTATCTCTGAATTAAAACTTGGTTTCTTTCCCCCACGGCATTCTGTGTTTTACCCTTTTGGGGAAATTTGTATCATAACTATGCTTTTGTACTTTGGATCTCATCAAATTCCTTATAGAGCCAGGATTGTTGGCCCATTCTTAAAATTTGTGGGGGAGAATATAGGGTGAGAATTAGAAACACACGTTGCCCATAGTAGAGAAATGATGTATATTTTCTTGATGATTTTAATTATATGAGCACAGCATTTGGACTTGGTGATGTTTTGTTTACTTAGGGCAGCCAATGAGGTGAATAGATGCCAACCAACTTGTAGAATTCAAAGTTCCTGATGAAGAGCAAGCCTGTCTGGGATCCACTAAAAGGTTAAAACAATGGTAGAGAAACTGCCTGACAAAGCAGTGGGCAGCATAAAAGTACTCATCGTGGTAACAAGTCAGGAG